TCAGCAAAAATGTTAGTGAAATTCTTGATTCAACTCTCAAGATCTCCCTTTTCTCCTTCAACTTTGTAAGACTTAGAATCGATTAAATTGAAAAAAAGGGTCCTAATATCCTTGTTCAACAGTTTCTTTAATTAACCATGCATATACTATTTAAGATCTATGTTCATCGCAAGATATTTATAAAAATTAAAGAAGAAGGGACTAATAATCATTGATGTAATGTGAAGCAATGTCAATCCCTTGAGCTAATATGACTTTATAGTATATTGCGGAAGAAATACTGAAAGAGTTAATTCTTAACACAATATTTGTTTATTTTGTACTTTTGAAGAATCAAAATGTAAACAGCAAAATTGTGAATATGAACAAAAGCCCTAAAGACTTTTACATCTTTTTCTATATAAAATTTGGCTATGCAATATCTACTAAGCTAATTGAGAACTTAATCTTAGAGAGATTTACCAAGCTATTTGTATTCAACTTCAAATTGTAATTGTGAGTTGATTTAATTTGTTAACTGGTTTCGCATAAGCAAAGTATATAAGCAGCGGAAAGCATGAAAATAATTTATCCTCTACCCCTAAGCCCTTGCAAAAGTTATTCATGCTCCCAATGACTTCAAAAGTTATTCTAGTCCATTAATAAGATCTTTATGGTAAGCCAATTTGTCGCAATGTACCACACTCTCCATTACTAATAATTAAGCTATTTTAGCCTATACCTGTTGGAAATTTTCTAAAGCATTATCTTTACTTCTCCAGAATCAGATATTAGCTAGTTTTGAATTACCTATTTTTCTTCTTTCAGTTACTATTTGGTTTATTGATCCTTATGATAGGATCCATTTCTTTAGAACTATGGCTTGATAAACTATTGACAGGAAGAATAATTATTATTCCTTAACTAGTCATGGTAATTATTATTCCTCAACCAAACGGATGGAAAAATTGGAGCTCGTCTTCGACACGTCATGCATCATAGCTTGAGATCTTTCACTATTTTTTCAATATTTTTGCCAATTTAGTCAATTCTACTCCAACTAGTCACAATTCTAACACAATAGGAATTTAAAAAAAAATCAAATCTTGCATTAAATGCTTTGACCCGTCACTTTTTGGAAAAAAAAATTTCCAGTCCAAAAAACTTGGGCGTAAGCACCAAGTTCACATAGAACCGAACAACTCTTTATTTACCATAGTGCACAAAAAAATAAATGCATGTAAGGGTATTTCTGGTAAAAAAAGGCATCACTTAATAACTAAAATTGTACATTGTTTGGAGAGTTATGCAAAATTAATTAATTAATTAATTAAATTGTTGATTTTAGTTAAGTAGGGAAGGACTTTGACTTAAAGGGTTCCACATTTGATGGAATCTCCACATTCGCACTCCAATATAATTTAGGGTTAATCACATTTTATGCTTTTAAAGAATACCCCATTTTTCAGTTTACCTCCTAACCTTTAATTTTGCTCACTTAACCCCCTTTAGGACAAAATTGTCCTTGCATAATTTTGACTTTTCATTTACCTTGTTTTCCTTTCTTTTATTTCTTTTTCTCTTTCTTCTTTATTTAATTCTTCCTCTTTCCCATAAAAATCTTCATCTTAATGATTGAAATTAAAAAAGAGGAATTGCAGAGATCTATTTTCTCCTTAAATGATTAAAAAATATTCAAATCACTTTCCTAAAATATAATTTTTTTTAGCTTTTCAATTTTTTTAATTTTGGGTTTTCCTCTTTCCTTTCTAGTTTCTCACTTTATTCATAAGAAAATATCTTAAGATGAAAAATCGTCCAACATGATTTGATTTATATCTCTACTATAGTGCCAGGTTAAAAATGCAGTTGAAATAACATATCTGTACTTTAACAGTAGATACAGAATGATTTTGTATAGATTTGAACAATATAAGAAATTTTCAAATTGCCTTTTAATAAAATAAGTCGCTGCAATTCCATTCTATGCATGTTTCAATCACCAAATCTGCTAATCAATAGATTCAAACTCCTATAATGATGATGAGATTTATTGAAATAGATCCAAGACCCAAAAAAATTCCAGATCTGACAACCAGATGTGAAATGAATTCTTATCAAACAACAAAATTAGGATAAAAATAGAAAATTCTCATTAAAACTTCTAGGAAAAATAGAAAATTCTCACTAGAAACCTCTAGAAGAAACAAACGATTCTCAAATTCAAGGAACATAACTAGCAGACAATGAAAGGCACGTTTCAAATTCAAGTAACATAACAGTAGTTGGAGTGATAGAGGTGATAGTTGGAGTGTAAACAACATTTACTGTTTTATATTTGTCAATCAAAATAGATTTGATGACTAGAGAAGATTGAATTTTATGAATTTTGATATGGAACAAATTGAGCAATCCTTTTGAGACAAGGAACAGCGTGCCAAGATACCCAAGAACATTTTCATATACGGTTAACTTTTGACAATATCTATCATTGTTTGTTTCCTTTTCTAATATTACTTCCTAATCACTTAGGATTTAGGATTTCCATGTTATTTGGTTTTTAGTTTTGCTTTAGGACTCTTATATTATAAATATAGGCATAGTAGGATCTTGTTATTTAGACATTCATCAATTATTATCAATTCTTCTTGGTATTTATCAATTTCTCTCGAGTTCCTTTTGATTCTTGTGACTTTCCAAGTTAAAATCATAGCATCTTTTCCTTAGTTTTTGGGGAACTATTAGTATAACAATCCCTTAAACACGCTTCTGCGTGAAATTTAATGCAAGAAATGTGCTAATTGATGTCGAACTATAAATTCCTACAAAAAAAGAATAAAAATATTATAAATGTTCTCAAATAACAAACGTTTTTCACCTTGTCGGTTCAGTGTAGATTTGGATCAATCTGTTCCATATAAATTATAAACTGTTTCAAATAAGACAGAATTATCTAACAACATCGAAGAAGCACTTTGTTTTTTTCCTCATCTGAGATGCATAAAAGCGGGAACGAGCTGACAAATATGCCGTCTTTGAAAGATGAATGATTTGGGCAGGAACCCGTATTCACACGTTGAAAATTGATCCGGTGCTTTTGAAAATGAAGACTACAAAAGCTTTGAATATCAAGTCAAGGTCAGGAGAATTCGAGGAAAAATTAATTAACAAAAATGAACAAGTTTTGTTTGACCTATCTCGACATTCATCCGATTCTTGGTTCAATCGATCTAGACGATTGATCCATTCAAAGTTAACAACAAGGTATGAGTCTATCTTCTCCTTCCCATTGTCCCAATATGATAACTTGTTCCTCCTAATATTTTCTATACTCGATGGTTTTGGAGCTGATTTGAGTTCGTATATTACATTGACTTAGCTTATTTAGCGTTATTCTTCATTTAGCATTTCTTTTGGGTGCATTTTCTTGGGGATGTGTCGGATTTAGGAATATGTTATTCTCTAGCAGTGACGGAGCCAGAAAAAATTTTTAGTGGGGGCAAAAGCAATATTAAAATTTTTTACCTACTCTTTTTCTAGTTTTTTAAGCAAAAAAAAAAAAAAAATTCACCAACAAGTACAAATGATGAATATATTCTATGAAAAACATAAAAAGATAAATTTAAAATTATTAATGTAATAATAATTTTATTTCAAAAATAAACTAAACTATTTACAATTGTTCACGGTAAGTTTTTATATTTTGATAACTAACTTGGTTGTGGAAGTAAGAATGGCTCTCAGTTGTGGAGGGAAAATGGGGGACCAGTGGAGGGAAGGGAAATTGGAAAGTGGAGACAAAGGAGTGAATGAAATGATTGGATGAATTGATCAAGAGAAAGAGTAGCTAGCTGCTTGGTTGTGAAAGGTAGTGGCTCTTGGTTGTCGGGGGAAAATGGGGGACCGGAGGAGGGAAGGGAAATTGGGGAGTGGAGCCTCAAGAAAGTGAATGATATAATTGGTACTTGCTAGTTGAAATAAAAACGTTTTTTTTGTCACTTATTTCAAGTGAAATTTGTGCCTCACATATCTTTTTAGAATTTTAGTTTATGAACTAACTTAAAAAATTATGTAATTCTTTCAAATCTTTTTAAAAAAACTCTGGGACATACTTAAAATTATATCAAAATTATATAAGTATTATAAGAATTTAAGGCCCCACTGCCCCCACCTTAAATCCACCCCTGCTCTCTAGTGAAGGCTTGGGTCAAGAGATGTTTGGTTTAGACAATTTTTATGCCACTGTAGAAATCCAAATCCGTCGTTACCTTCTTTTTCCTTAATGCTGAAATCAATCCTAAAAGCGTCATGGGAGTTTCTTTTGACTTCTTTGAAGTCGTTGCAAGAAGTTGCAAGTCAATTTTCCTAATATAAATTTGGGAAAGGCAAATAAAAAACGCCATATATATATATATATATATATCCCTTCTCAGAGTTTGTTTGAGATATTATTTTAAATAATTATTATAGTACTTTTTATGATATGATATATGTAATATAAAAGATGATTGAAAATATAAAAGATATATTAGAAAATATATTTTTGATGCAAATAAATGATTTTTGTGTAAATAAAAACTATCCAAAAACAATATGTAAAGTGAAAAATCTAGAAAGAGTGAATCGACCACTGTTGACCGAGTTGACTGTGTTAGATGCAACAAACAAGTGAACAAAATAAGAACACAAGAACCAATTTTGGGAGAAATCAAATTTTATTAGGGTTCTAATCAGAATAGTTTATCGACTAAATATAAGGTGTATATATATATACAACCAAACGGATTGGATCCAAAAATAGGTCCAAAACTAAGACCCAAAATAAAACAGACAGGTTAACTAATGTATGAAAGTCAAAGCATGAGAAAAACCTTAAAACGAAAGACAGGTCAACGTACCTGAATAGATTAAACTATATCAATTCAAATTGGCAAAAATCTGTCAGTCTCCTTCTCACTCTGCGTCCTCAAGAAGCAACAGTAGCCGCAGCACCACTCTTTCTCCAATCTCACATGCTTTCAATCCAAATCCGAATTTCATGATGTTATTCTTCATCAAACCCAGAATAATTACAGCCCTTTTGCTCTTTCTCGTCGTCTCAATCTCCCTGCAAACTTGTCAAGTCAATTCCCAGTGCAGCAAAGGCTGTGACTTAGCTTTAGCCAGCTACAACGTCTGGCAAAACTTAAACCCAACCATAATCGCCCAACTTTTCAGCGTCCCAACTTCCACTCTGATCACCTGGAACCCGGTCAGCATCCCAGACAAGGATACAGTCATAGAAGGGACGAGAGTAAACATCCCATTTCCATGTGACTGCATCAATGGGAATTTGCTAGCTCATGTCTTCAATTGCAGTGTTTCATCGGGGGATACTTATGATATAGTTGCGTCCCACTTTTACGCGAATTTAACGAGTACCACTTGGTTGCGGAGGTTTAATAGTTATCCGGAGAATAATATCCCAGATGCTGGAGTTCTGAATGTTACTGTGAATTGTTCTTGCGGGAATAAGGCGATTTCCAAGGATTATGGGTTGTTCATAACTTGGCCGATAGAGGTTGGGGATACTTTGGAGTCTGTAGCTTCTGCTAATAATTTGAGTGCTGATTTGATCAGCAGGTATAATCCAACGGCAAATTTTACTGCTGGGAGTGGTCTGTTGTTCATCCCTGCAAAAGGTAAGCTTTTACAATTAGATGTTATCGAATTGGATTAATTTTATCTACACAGTCATGTGCAACATTTCTTTTTCCTGTGCAAATCCACAAATTGTTAATTTACTTGAGTGTTTAATTGTCCTTCCGTTGTAGCATCTACAAGTCATGGAACGGAATCAAATTCAATTTCGGGCATTGTATCACATTGGCAAAACTCAATAAAACTTACTGGCTGAATTAGTTCAACTTGACTAAGAGATGGCATTGTATAGGGATGGCAACGGTATTGGGGCGGGGCGGGCGGGGGTGGCCCGTTTGAAAAAAAAAGATATATATATATATGTATAATTATATATCTGATGATATTATTAATTATACTACTAATTATACATGTCTATTAATAAAAATTATTATTTGTTTATACTAAATTTATTAATACATTTATATTAAATTCCTAACTACACTTAATACAATAACACTTTTTTCTAAAAAAATACAATAATAATTTAGTGATTATATTTGTTTCAAAAGTAAAAACTTGATTATTTTAGTTATATTTGTTTTATCATATTAGATTGTATTCAAATAACTTTTGTTTAATTATTTTTATGAGTTTCAATTGTGAAGTTACAATGAATAATAATTTGGTAATATGTTGATATTTTAGTACTTGATTATTTGCTCAAATTTAATTATATAATAAATTTTTTTAACCCCACGGGTGCCCCTCTAGGGGAAATGGGGCGGGGGGAATTAATAGGCAACAGGGCGGTCCCCCACCCCATTGCCACCCGTAATTGTACCAACCCCCCCTCTCCCGCCCAAAAACAAAAAAGAAACAAAAGAAAGAAAATGACAATGGTCAGTCTTTTATCCATATAGTTTTGAATAAATCTTTTATATACTGTTAGTATAAACTCATTTTATACTAATGGTTAAGTATTGTATGCCAACTCATTAATGAAGGTGCGTAACTTGTTGGGTAACTAAGTTTAGCTTCTTTCATTAATGAAAAATATAAGTGTTTTTTTCTTTTTTATAAGTGGGAGGTCTTGAAAGATATAAGCGTGGCTTGAATGGTAGCACATAAAAGCCTTGGAATGGCTAATTTGGATAGGAGATTTTTTGGGATAATATTTTAAAAAATACTATAGCTTTCTTTTGATGTGATATATATGATATAAAAAGTGATTAAAAAACATGTTTATGATACAAGCAATAATTTTCCAAAAGTATTAAATTACATAGAAATTAATTAAAAAAAGAGTTAATACAAACAAAAAAAATCAATAATTTAATAAAATTAGAGCTTTATCTCAACTAAAGCTATGAAAACTCATGAAACTAAAGAATCAATTTTGAGAAAAACCTACAAGTCTATCCATCCATTGCCTTTGTTTTCATGCTTTTACTCAATAAATGTATTTACTTTTTCACTTTCTGCAATCTGTTTCCACTTATCTTGCATGGTGAATTGAAGTGAAAATCACTTGTCCCAATTCAAATCTCAAAATTCACGCCTTTGTAAATCCTCAAAATTTTCTTTCTCTACATCTAATTACAAAGATGCATATCTTTCCATAGCTTGAAGAGAAAGTTTTTTTTTTTCCATACATGATCCATGATTTCATGCCTCCCTAGATTCAAAAATTTTTCCCAAAATTTTCTTAGTTTACATCAGTTCCTCCATATTGATAAAAAAAATCTTTTATTCTTATTTTAATTATGAAACAATGATGGTTGAGATCTATTAGTGGTTTGGATAATGCAAAAGTCAAATAGAAGATGTAGATGATAGAAGGTAGGAAATTAGAAGAGAAGAACAAATCTTTTGCAGAATTATTCGTGAAATATACTAGGTTTATTTTTAGAAGTAGTTTATTAAAAATAAAATGATTTTGATAAAGTTGTAAACTTTCTATAACATCTATCTAAAGTGAATTTATACTGACAGTGTATATAAGATTTAATCTATATTTTTTAGTATTATATATTTGGAAGACTAAATTAAAAAATCTTCTCGCTTTATATGACTAAACTGAAGTCTTTAATTTAAATTGAGATTTGTGTTAGGGACCAAATTGATACTTTCAGAGTATTTCAAAGGACCAAATAGAAACTTTTCCTCTGAAAAAAAATAGAAACTTTTCCAATATCACTTTATTTTATAGTCATATTATCTGGGTCCCAGACTTTTATTACTATAGGACAGAGCACCCGGTTTCAAGTTTGTGAATGTTCTATTTAATACCACATGTGAATGTTTGTTGTGTTGTCTAGTTTCTAGAGGTTGAAAATGACTTTACCATAAAAATGTTAGAAACTACCACACCATTTTGTAGAATTTAGTTTTACCCTCACCCCATGAATAAATATGTATCACAGATCCTGGTGCCAATGATGTGGAGATTTAATAGAATGATGGCAAATCTTAACGGGGGACATTTCAAGGGGAAAATGTTAACGTTTCAGTGTACAAGTCATTGTGACACGGCAATTGATAGAATTACTGTCTGATAATTCTATGACGTTTGATATGTTTGATGAGCTAATATGAGATAGCCCATTATCTATTGAATACACATGGATCATAGAATATATTTTGTACTTTGTTTAGTTTATATGTAAATGAATAGGTCTGCTGCATTTCAATGTGTTAGACTTTTGGTACCATCTCAAATCATGCTACCATATATTCTTGTTTGTCACTTGAAGAGTTGTAGCTGTAGTTCAAATTGTAATTTTACGGTGACTTCAAAATGTGTTAGCTAAACATTCGACTCTTATGCAGATCTAAGTGGAAACTATCGGCTTCTGCGTCAAGGTAGCATTGAGGTTTTCGAACTAAACTTCATTATCTATATTTCCAAATATTTATCATGTTAAAATCAAGGGCAAATTCCACTTTACCCCCCTGTGATTTAGCATTTTTTTACATAACCCTTATAGTTTCAAAAGCTATACATAATCCCCTCATGACTTGGATTAAAGTGTCAAAGTGACGAGAATGATCATTCTTAACGGAGTCACCTAAAATGTCAAAAATACCCTTATGTAAAGTTAAAAATTATTTATTAACTAGGGGGGTTATGTGTATATTTTAAAAATCATAAGCGGGTTATATGGTAAAATATTAAACCATAAAGGGGTTATATGGTAAAATATAAAAATCATACGGGATTCAGGTGTCATGTATTTATAAGAGTAATTTAGACATTTTTAGAAATTCCGTTACGAATAACTATTTCCGTCACTTTGACACTTTAATTCAAACCATGAGAGGGTTATGTATAATTTTTGAAACTATAAGGGGGTTATGTAAAAAAATGCTAAACCACATGGGGTAAAATGTAATTTGCCCTAAAATCAAATATATTTCCAAATACTTATTATGTTAATTCAATATATTATTCCATACTATGCTGCACGTACAGGTGGTTCAATCTTCACATATTGGTTCATTTTACCTTTATCGATTTCCAATTACCGCATGTACTTGAGGATTGACGTTGGAATTTTTGACATCTAGTTAATCCTGGCTTTTGCTACCTTAGGATCAGGATTGTCAGGTGGGGCTATCTCTGGGATATCTCTTGCAGTAGTTGGAGTGTTGTTTTTTGCAGCTTGCGGGTATCTTGTTGTTTACAGAAAGAGGAAGGCAGAGAAAATATCACTTAAAGATCAATTTGAGCAACCTGCTTCTGGTCTCTCTCTCTCTCTCTAAGTTTAATCTGCAAATTTAAGATGCTTTTTGAAATTATTGATGTACTTGTTATTGATTCTAATATTAGAAGCTTGAATTCTCCATTTATTTATAGAGCATTTCTTTTTCTTTCGTATTAAATCTTATGATTCACTTAATATTATCATTTTTAGAAGCCTTTCCGTTGATCTTAGGATTCACTTAATACCATTATTTGTAGCAGGGGAAATCCAAGCTAACAGATTTAAAGGGGTGGGACAAGGGCATTATACTAGAGAACTATAATTTGTAGGTATATTGTAATATTTTACGGGAAATTGTTCACTGAACTACATATAACAGTGATGATGACATAGATTTTATAGACCACTCTGCTGCATAGATTTCTTTCTGCAAAATGATGACATAGTTCTTAGAACTTATTTCGTCAAACTATCTCAGGTAGAAAAAAAATTACTGTTTCGGGTTTCTGTAATTTAATATGCTTGAGCCAGAAGTCATTTTAGCCAAACTGTGGAGCTTGCAAACGTGATGGAATTTCGTAGTCTGCACACACAGACCTTGCATGGATGTTGTGTAATTTTTTGCAGATTTTATTTCTTTTTTGCCATTTGCATGTCACGATCCTAGTTAATTTGAATGGGGCCAGACAGTTTTGGCAACTGTTATCTGATGCAGGTGACATCTAATTTTCTTTTTGTGGGGAGTATGATATAGCATAATTATGTGTTATATTCCCATGATAAGATATTCATTCTTCTGAATTAGTTTCAATATTCTTTTACATTTGCTACACAATATTGGAGAGCACGTATTTCATATTATTTAAATTCAACAGAGTGAGACGTGTACGCTTACTGAATTATGTTCACTAATCCAGAAGCATTTGCGTATTTTAAGTGTTTCTTTCCCGTACAGTATTCCCTCTATGCTGGTTGTATGACTCCGTTGATCCTCTTCTTCTCTTCATTGGTTGAAACCCTGAAGATACTGCAGCTAAAGCTCCAGAGGCTGCTAATGATGCTAAAAGGGCTTCTCCAGGCCTTGGTGGAGTAGTTGTTGAGAGATCTTTTGAGTTCTCGTATGAAGAGCTTGCAATAGCTACTAAAGGTTTCAGTTTGGCTAACAAGATAGGCGAAGGCGGCTTTGGCTCTGTTTATTATGCTGAGCTTGGCGGCGAGGTTTGTTGATCTCTTTCTCTATACAGCAGCATAAGGAAAGATGAAATTGCTTGCACACATTCTTGTTCTTTCTTAGTTAAGTTCCTTGGTTACTGAATCAGAGTGAGATTTTTCACTTGATCTTGAATGGTAAGCTGTATGGGGAATGAGCTCCCCTCGAGGATAATCTGGTTATGTTCATTTGATTTCCCCATAAAAGCAAGTTGATTATATCAAAATAAAAAAAAGGGTAGAGTATGAAATCAGATCTTCTTTTCGCACCAGTTTGCTTTTTTATTTTTATTTTTATTTTTTGCAATTAATTTTTCTTTACCTTCAAATTTTTGTTATCATGTACATAGGACAGTAGAAGTCAGACCCGTGCAAACCACTCTATCTCTAAAAGATACTTATGGTGGAGCTTTTGATTCCTTGACATGAAATTTTGTTTATTTAAAGAATTCAGGGTTTCTTTCTCACACACATCTTTTTAGAAGACAGGCTGAGATCCTATCTCCTTGACCTCCAACTGAAAGGGCTAGCTTCGTTTCTATCAGCCACATCATGCTGAATTTAGGGATGCCTTATTTCCCTAAAATTCACACCCACAGCCCTAGTTGTTACAATATTTCTTTTGTTCTTTATTCATGAAATGGCACTCAGTTCATATCTTCTAGTTTGACAATTGACAAGCTTTAAAGAAAGGTTGAACTCCTTAACTAGGTAAGGTCAATGATGATCAGTGACAATTTCTAACATGGAATCAGCATTTGCTAGCAGATGCCTCATGAGTTGCCCTATCCACCATTAGCATAAATAATTAGGGGTAAAACACCTTTGTGTCCCTTGGTTTTCCTGTTAGTTTTAAGCCTTGCAAGATTGGAAAACACCACATAATAGCAGCATGATTTTTGTGTAAACATTCAACGAAGGGCAAACACTTGATTACAATCTCCTCTCTCTCTTTATTTTTTCAATTTTCTCAATCTTCTCTAAATAGTTGCCGGTAGGAAAGGTGGGAAAAATGGAACAAGAACAGTAGTTGAGTGACTAGATGGAAGGAGGCCTAGGATGGCGTAGAGTTGAGATGTGGGGAAGTGGGCTTTGGGCAGATGGAGGGGAGTGGGGAAAGTGGTGCTTGGTGATATGATTCCAGCCACATGCTGGTGGATGTGGAATAGTGATCTGTAGGAGACAGGAGATTACAGATTAGTGTGGGAATGGAGTTCACCAGGCTTTGGGTTGTTTTTATTTGTGACACTTTCCTGAGTTCCGTTTGATAAGAATCTGAATTTTGAAGTCTAAATTCTGAAATCTGAATACTAAAACAATTAATTTGCTAAATTTTAATCACTGAAAAGAAAGATATGAATGTCTGAATTTTAATGCTAATCTTACTTATACTGTTTGATAAATATTTATAACTGAATGTTTAATAAGTTTAATTTGACAATTTTGCCCTTATATCTTTTCATTCAAAAAAGAAATAGAACCTATGATTTAATTAGTTTAAAATTATTAGGTGTGAAAATGATAATATTTATTTTTAAATCAAATTAATATAAAAGATCAAATATATTATATGAGGAGTATGGAGAAGATGTGAAATCATTAAAAAAGAGAAACAAAAAATCGTTAGATAGAGAATATCATATTGTTTAATTAAATAAGAATTTTTAACATAATTAACAAACAAGGGTAGATTTGATAGATAATATAAGGTAGTTAAAATAATTCTATTGATTGTTATCGGAATTATGAATTCAGTTAGGATTCTTGTGCTGAAAAAAATAGCACTGCTTAACAAGTTCAGCGGATGGATTTTCATTTATCAAATACTCAAAATATCTGAATGTCTGATAAAATTCAGTTTTAACATTTTTTTATGTTATCAAATAGATCTCTAATGTGCTATTTATTCAGTTCTATAGAGTTGGGGATGGCATTGGGGAAGCAACCAGATTTTTTTTTTCCTTGGAATCGGACAACTGTAGGGAGTAGGGGAGGTAGAAGGCGGACCACATAGGGTGGATGAGAGCATGCCATAAATAGGTATGATCCGTTAAACAAGGACCAAGGGCACGAATAGTTGTCAGTAACAACCGTTCTGAACACTATAACATTTTTTTAATAAGGTGTAATTCTATGTGAATTACTTGTAAAATTTAACAACAGAGACACAATTATTACATATGGGATCTACATAAATAGTAACAAAATATCACACCTCTGTTGTAAGGATATATAAGAAGTTTACATAAAGTTATAAAACGTTCAAAAAAATGTTACATTGTTCAGGAACGATTAATAGATCAATCATCCCTGCCTTGCTCCCGCGAAGCAATACAATTTTTTTTTTTTGCTTCTTTGTTTTATATCTCCAATGTTTATAGAAGAATAAGCAACCAAGACGCCTTACATGATTTTCTTGTCTTTTAAAAGTGGCCTAATAGATACATTAGCTGAGCCTTAAGATAGGTTATGGGCTATATGGTGTTTTACCTCAAGTCATCCTAGATTGGCCGTGAGAAGTTACTGACAAGATATTCTGTTGTAACATGGTAGCTGATTATGACGCTTTTTGACTGCCTAATTTTTGCATATATTTACTGCAACATGTAAAGAAAGAATGTTAGAGTTTAAACTGGTAATATGAGCACCATGAAATTCTACTTCAGGAGTAAACTTTTTTTTTTCTTCAAGATTGATGCGAACAAGGATCCATGTCTTTTTGTTCATACTTGAGTAGCTTCGTCATGTTATTTAGAGAATTCTCGAATTATATCGAACGTGTCTCTGAATTACTGAATTCCTACGCTTTTTCCAGCATTTTATTGTCAGTGGCATACAATTTAACATCTCATATATACCTATTTCTGGTAACCCTTGCCTTATTTTTGTCCATTGTTGTACATGTGCCAAAACAAAGTTGTTTTTTTTTTTTTCTTATTTTAGGTTTCTTTATGATGGCTGCATGTATTATATTTTTCCTAACACCCAACTCTGGTGCAGAAAGCGGCAATCAAGAAAATGGACTTGAAAGCAAAAAGAGAATTTGTTGCTGAACTTAGGGTTTTAACACATGTACATCATCAGAACCTGGTAATAAACTATCTTATGCTTCTTGGATGTGTTTTACTTAGCTGTTGATTTTCTTATTTGTACGTGTAGAAATTATACCACTTTCTCTCATGTAGTATTTATTTTAAGGACAAATTACTACTTACCCCCTGTGGTTTAGTGCTTTATTACATAACCCTCCTATGATTTCAAAAACTATAAATAACCCCTCATAGTTTGGATTAAAGTGGCAAAGTGACAGAATTTGCAATCCATAACGGAATCAATTAAGTTATCAAAAATACCCCTATGTAAAGTTAAAAATTATTTATTAACCACGGGAGAGTTATGTATATATATTGAAAATTATAAGGGGGTTATATGTTAAAGTACTAAAGTATAAGGGAATTATATGGTAAAATATAAAATCATACAGGGTTAGGTGTCCTACATATTACGTTTTAGTATGCAAAAAACTTCATTTTAGTTTTTAAACAAGGGTAATTTTGACATTTTCATAGATTCCGTTACAGATAATCATTTCCGTCATTTTAACACTTTTATCCAAATTATGAGGGGGTTATATATAATTTTTAAAACTAGAGGGGGTTATATGAACATTAGCTATACCACAGGGGGATAAAGTGTAATTTGCTCTTATCTTAACATCCCGTCTATTCTCGATTTGAAAGATTTCAATACCATATGTTTTCTCCATTTCAGCATTTTCCATAGACTCTGTATTGAAATGCATGCATCTAACGGATTTCTTTTCTAATGGATTTCTTTCCATCATGAACTTTAATGAAGAAGGCAAACAATTCTCTGCAAATTCAGTTATGCGCTTATTTTCTGTTAATAAATCATAAGCAGTAGAAGTACAGCTATGGACTTTAAGCAAAATTTGACCAAGAGTTTTGTGTATTTTCCTAGTCACAATTAGCTCATTCTAACTAGGAAAATACCCACGACTGTTGGTCTAAATGTTTGCTAAATTATACAGCAGTGGTTCTGTTGCTTATGGTTGATATAAACACACATGCAAACAAGAGTGAAAGCAGACAAAGCTCACGATCACACTTCAACGAGCCTGATGATTTAGTTAATTATTGTGATTCGTAGGTTTTCTCTTTATAATTGAACCTAGAATATATGTCAATAAGGCTAAGACATCAGACCCTACTGCAGTCCTGTAATCATGGTATTTGAACAAATCTATTCAATGTGTATCCCTTGGTCAACAAATTTTTATTTAACAGAAAACTTTTACCGCACAAATTAAAATTATTTTATCCAACCTAAAGATTAAAGCATCTACCACAACTACCTCCTTAAGCTATTTTCTTGATTGTCTTGCATTCAATCTGCAATGCAATTCGCCTGTTATTACCTTCTGGTAGCTATTCTGTTTGGATTACATTAACAATTATAATATTATACATAAATTAGTGAGGGCTTAGACAAGCATTATCAACTTTCAGGAAGTTTTATTTAGACAAACAACTATACACACAATGCTGCTAAAACTCATTTGTAGCTTGGTTTGTCTTTAAAATCTTAGTATTATGATATCTTTCTGTTAATAATGGACTGAAGAAATTAGAACTTTGTTGTAAGGTCATACCTTAGATATGTGCTATTTTTTAATTGTCTTTTCAATATAAGCTGATACTATTGGTGCTTTTGGCATTTGATACTAATCGTTTGTGAGAAAAACAGGTGCGCTTAATTGGATATTGTGTGAAGGGTTCCCTTTTTCTTGTATATGAGTACATTGACAATGGAAACTTGAGCCAGCATCTTCGAGGATCAGGTAAGCTAGCAATTCGTATTTGAAGTCATGATCATTGTTTAAAGATAATTGCCACCATTCTAGCTAATTCTGACACGGTGATTAATATGCAAGAATTCCCAAGGACTTGTTAAGTAGGCTGCATGGGTGGCTCTGTGTTTCTCCTATTTTCATACTTGCACTTTCATAGTTGCACTATTTTTCTATGGAGTAGCAAAACCCCAAGGCAGGCCTTTGCCAAGCCGGATCTATCGCAAGTGCATGAGTCTTGAAAAGTTTCTGATTGAAGGGAGACGAAGGAGGAAGGGAATGGGCAGGGGCTAGGTGGGAATGTATCTCTTGTTTTGTCATGAAATCAATTTGTCTGACTGGCATCATTTCCAATGACAAAAAGTCTGTCATATTTACAAACTTTTCCTTAATGTTTTGTCATCTTATTTCATCTGTAAACATCCATGCGTTTTTTTAGGTCATTCACTATACGTGAATATCATAAAATAAACTGTATGTCACATTAAAGTTACAAGCATAATCTGCCTTTATTGGCATTGCCGCATTTCATTGTGGTTGATGCATTCTTCATGAGCTGGATTTGTACTCAAATTAGTACCTACATCTTAAGATAGAAGTATGATGTTTTAGGTGTTTAATGTTTCTTACTGACAAAATCACCTTTTCTTTTTCATACTGTGGCTATATAAGTAAAGTTTGGCAGGAGCAGAATATGTCAATTAGACAAGAAGAGTGTATTTGTTATGGTGCCAAATGTTAATTGTCAATACATAGCACAGCCTAATAAACATAAGAAATTAAACGAGTTTCAAAATCAAAGCATGAGGACCAACATGGAACTGATACAAAAACCTAGGGAAAAGTAATGTCAATCTATATTTATTATTCTACATCTTTATAAACTCATTCAGTTCCTTTTACCCGTCCATCTTGTTACTCACAATTTTTGGAATACATCATCAGTTTTTTATTTTTCTAGCATTCCATATTGGAATCACAAGTTTGAAGCATGGTTGTGCAGAGACAGTAATTCTTCTTAGCAGTGTGAGTGTTTCTTAAGATATCTGGATTGTTCTAGGGTGCGACACACTGTCATGGTCAAGTAGGGTGCAGATTGCAGTGGATTCAGCAAGAGGTCTTGAGTACATTCATGAGCACACTATTCCTGCCTACATCCACCGTGACATTAAATCAGCAAACATTTTGATAGATAAAGATTTTCGTGCCAAGGTAGTATCACCTGGTCCTAGTTGTATGATGAATCATGTAAAGAATCTCCAAATTTTTGGCTTAAATTGTTTGTTTTGCAGGTTGCAGATTTTGGTTTAGCAAAATTGGCTGAGGTCAGAGGTTTATCTTTGCAATCACATCTTGTGGGTACGTTTGGCTACATGGCCCCAGAGTAAGTTTTGATTAGTTAGTTAGTAGTACTGTTAACGTAACTGTGTCATTGCTATGTCAATATTAGGTTTTGCAAAGAATTTGTAGTGAAATCTGTTACTTAAATGCTTGCAGATAATTTCTTTTTCCAGTTGAAATTCCTTGATCCATCAATTTCTAGATAATTTTAACTAAGTTTGGCGTATATTATGCTAGATTGCAAACTGAACATATTTCACCCTGTTAAATCTATCTCTGGTGTTTCCTTATCTTATGCGTTCCCTTCCTAAGAAGAGTCAGAATTTCAAAGCCTATAGTGAAAAAATGTAACAGGTTGCCTACCCATGGCTTCTCTTGTTTGTTCAACTCTTCCGGGAATTTCCCGTGCTAAGGAGCTGTGTATTCAAAATTCGAGGAGAATGAGAAAGTTTTGACTTCTTTCTTTGTGTTAGTCACTCCCCAGAATGTAGTATCGTTTCAAGGTTTTGTCAGCTCTCGGAGGTGTGCGCATGTATTCCTTTCGCCCCACTATTTAGGCCTTCCTTGTTCTTTCCTGATGTGAAGGAAGAGAACAAGGCTTGGCTTAAAAAATATACTAGTCAGATGAAGACAGTAATGTGCAGTAGTTCTGCTTACATAGTCTCAAACATACAAGTTAATCACGTGCCATCACATCTGAAGTACTGTGACCTCATTCCTAGAATTGTCTCTGGGATTATGCAGTAGTTCTTCTTGAACTTAAATTTGAAATTGATTTTCAAACCAATTTGTTGGATAGGAGCAGAATTTGTTGGATTTGAATTAGCATGATTTAGTAACAACTGGTTACTAATTGATTAATGATAAGCACTTTTGTCAAACAATAAAGAGATAGAAAATCAAGCCAATTAACTCCCAACTACTATTGAGAACACAGAAATATGAGGTCCTTTATGTGCTCTAATTCTGACTATTGTGATGTCCCAATTGCTGGCCAGCATGAACAGTTGCCCAAAACCCACTTTGTGCAATATAAAACTTTTTGCTGTAACTTGTTCCTCATTTCATCCTTCAAATTAGCTTTAAATCAATGTTTTCAGAACCGGACCGGACCGGCCGGTTCGACCGGTTGAACCGCGAACCGGCCATGTCACCGGTCCGGTCTAATGCTAAAGCCGGAAGTTCTGGGTCTCCAAGTTTGGATATGACAATCTCACCGCTAGACTGTAATTAAGTTTGTTAAGAATTTTACTTGACTAAAAAATATATTAAAACATCAAGTTCTTCTCTTATTTTTTTTTCAATTTTTTCTTTTTAACCATTTTTAACCCAAATATCCACAACAAAATTTTCTCAAGTTTTCACCATTATTATTAGGTTATTATCTTTAGCAAATTGTAAACAAGTTGAAAATTTCAACCTTTTTTGTTTTCCAACATCTTAGTAAGTTTAATTTTTTTCTTTTCAAGGTTTTTTTTCTATATTATTATCTTTAGTTGATTTTTTGCATTTTCTTCTTTTTCCCCTCAATTTTCATATGTTTCCCTCATTTTTGTTTTATTTTTATTCGATTAATTAAGGATGAAATTTTTGCAAAAGTAGTGCACATCCGTGTAGGAATTACAAATAATAACATTGGGATGGTAAAAAATATGGTAGTTGGCACATAATCGAAGCTATTGATAATTGAATGTAAAATAATTAATGGTATAGGATCATTGAATTTAATATAACATGTTAATTAGTAATGTTTAGTAGCAATTAATTTTTTATGTGTTTAACTGTTTATTTGTTTTTAAAAAATTTTTAGTTTTTTTTAGTTTGAGCAATTAGATTTATATTTTTATAATAAAATTTTAACTTTTTCAGCTTAAGTTGATGAAATTATGAAGTTGGTGTGGTTGCTTATCATGTCACTGATAAAAGTTTGCTATTCAAATAGTTTGTCTTAACTTGAACTCTTTTATGGATTTTTTTAAGGGTTGTAAAAGAATTTCAATATTTAATTTATTTATTTTTTGTGTGTTTTTTTTTGTGATAATTGGTGAACATTTGGATTGTATCTATTTATGTTTATAATGAATTTATGAAAACTTATGGTGAATTATGATATTTTAATTATATTTATCATTCCATGTTTTATGTATAACTTTTAGAAAATTTATTATTATCATAACTTAAATTAAGTTATGTTGGTAAAGTTCAAGTGTAGAATGAAACCTGCTTAGTACTTAAAAAAAAAAAAAAAAAAAACAGTGAACCTTTGAACCGGCCGGTTGGACCGGTCGAACCGCGAACCGGCCACCTCTCCGGTTCACTGACCGGTCCGAGTTTAAAAACATTGCTTTAAATACAGTATTTCTCTTCTGAGGACCTTCAAGAACTTTATTTTGAACAAACAACTCAAGGAGTTCCTGCACATAACCGTTTACAGACATGTTTCCTTGCTTCAAATAAAGTATCAATTAAAAGTCTGGCAAGACTGCAATCTATATATCTAGGATTACAGAATCTGCCTGTAGAAACTTCGTGAAGTAAATAGTTCTGATTCCTGAATGATATAGTAGTAAAAGTAAGGAACCATTCCTTAGGACAATTGTTATCAGTCAAAACCTGACAACTAATGTTATCTTTGCAAAACATCACAATTAGCTCTATGTCTGCCACTAGTTGATTATATTTAATGACATGAACTAGTTTCCTATGTTAAATCACCAAGGCACATAAATAAAAACAAACTTCTCCATTATTGTCTAACTAGAAGAGTCCTAGTCCAAGTAAATGTGCTAAAAATACTGGAAGTAGGAAACTGGTTTAAGTGTCTACTTGGGACTTGGGATAGGTATTAAGTTTAAATAGCTTGGGCCTGATCTGATTGATAATTTGTTGGGGTTTGAAATTCTCAATTAAACTCATTCGTCAAGCTGGAGAAATTTTTGGCACAAAAGTCTCCTTTTCTTTGGGTTGGTCCCTTGCTGCTTGTGCCTTTAGTTTCCAAGACCGGAATTGACTTGGTTTGGAGGACTGTAATAAAAATAAAAAAAACTCGTTCTTATTAATGCCATAACAAAAGAATCTTGAAATTCATATGTTCTCTCCTTATGATGCTCTAGGCAGGCAGCCCTCGGATCCACTTTTTCGAGTTATGGACAATTAAGGCGAAGTGTATGCAATGTTCCATTATGTGCAGAACATAAGTCTCTGTTTTGGGCTCATACATTTTGCTTTTACTCAGAAAAGTAATTAAAAGTATTGCTTGGCAGTAGCAAAACTTTTTTGTTTATTTTCTTTTTAATGGATTTATTATAACCATTACTTGCTCATTGTCGATATGAAAATGATGCTATATATCTCATATTCAAGCCATATTTAAATTGTTAGGCATCAAAGGTGAAAAGGTTCCAATTTCCTTGTATAGATTTTTTTAAGATGTCAAGACACAGCTTTTGCACCAGTCCTGCCAGTCCAATTTCCTTCTATTGGCCATTGGATTCTCTATGATGCTTTTCACGTAGAGAAACAATAAGCCCCCCCCCCCCCCCCTTTTTTTCTCTCTCTACAGCAAGCCAGTTACTTTTGATGGATGGAATTCTTGCTGGTTTTATGTGATGTACATGGCATGAAGCAATAACAACCTTCATTCTACTTTTGTGCAGGTATGCCAATTGTGGTACTGTTTCTCCTAAAGTCGATGTCTATGCCTTTGGTGTTATGCTTTATGAACTAATTTCGGCTAAGGCAGCTGTAGTTGATGGATGCTCTACTACTGATACTAAGGGCCTTGTTGGTTTGGTAAGTTTATATGCATAAGGAGGCAAATTCGATTGCTATATGCACTAAAGTTAGATATTAAAAAAAAAGGAAGATTCTATGCTAAACTACACACGACTTGTTTTGAGAGATTTTCGTATTTGTGTCCGCAAACTCTTAAGAAATACGGATAGCTTCCAAGACTTTAAATTTACTTAGTGGCTATTTGTTGGCTTGTAAATTTCAGTTTCTGAGGACCTAATAATTTTGTTGCTCATATGACAGTTTGAACAAGTTCCAATACTACCGGATTCAAATGATGATCTTCGCAAACTGGTTGACCCGAGACTTGGGGATAATTACCCAATCGAATCAGTCAGCAAGGTAAAAATTAGTACATGACAACTTAAGCACTTGTCCTCTTGCAACTGTGTCTTTAGTTTCTTAAAGAAAACAATTCGGTTAATTGCAGATGTTTCAGCTAGCCAAACTTTGCACGCATAAAAAACCTGAATCAAGGCCGAGCATGAGATCTGTTGTCGTTGCGTTAATGGCATTATCATGCCCCAAAAAGGGTTCTAAGATTTTTGTTCCTCATTTAGAAACTGAGATCTTGAAATACGAGTATTCTATGATCAAGTCTATGGAAACTGAAGTTCTGGGATCTGAGACTTTTACAGTTACATCTGTGGAATCTGAGGCTTATACAATAGAAGAAGGAATTGAGGATTAAATGGTAGTTGACGTGAACGATATGTGGCTGCTCAAATTTATTTTTTCATGAAGAAGAAAAATTTTAGATGTGAAACCAATGACCTACGTTGATAAAACAATTTTGCAAAACAATCCTCACCAGGTCTTGCAACTAATGTCTACAAGATAGAGGTGAGAATGTGCAATCACAATATCAAACTCACATTCATTCATGCCCACTTTTCCCAGGATGCAAGGGAAATAGATTGGAATTACTATATGCAAATGTGTTAAAGATGGTTTCAAATGAATACTTTATCCATAGAAGCAAGAAATATTTGCAATAATGTTATCATATGTATTGCTATCTCATTAGAAAAGTTACACTCACCAACTATATATTTGCAAATCTCCTACTCTCTCATAAAATGAAGGTATTTATTTCGTTCTATTTCTTGCCAACAAAATTGATTTTATGGACTTTCACGAATGCCCGTTTGGCAAATAAGTGTTTTGGGTGTTTGTCTAAAACTTTATTATAGTTTACTGTAGAAGTTGTAGGAAAAGTTTTGAAGTGTGTAAATTTTTGGATATTTTGAAGCGTATAATTTAAAATTTTTGAGGAGTTTTTTGAAGTTACTGTAGTTAAAGTTGTTAAAAAACTTGTAAAAAACAAACTTGGCCCAAAACTTGTCTGCCAAATTTCCTTAAATTATCCAGATTAATGTTTATATTTCCCATTGGCTTAGCTTAGACCATTTTTATTCAATAGCTTCTTTTTTAACCAGATTTTTAACTGATTAATTAAGATTGTTTTCACAATTTCCAACTAGTTTAATTGCTTAGAATATTCTTTCTCAGTTGGAAGTGATCCTGTTTCCACAATAATTTGGACCAGCATTGAGTCTTGCTCAATGACAGTACAAGATAACAACCAGATAGAATCTTAAACATATTGAACAAAATCTTTGTTTGGGTACTTTTACTTTCAGTAGTTTGTATCTAAGATGTTTTTGCATTTAATTCCAATTCACGTTTTGGTAGTATGTGGTTACTATATCAATTGGTTATGTTCGTCCATTCATGGCTAATCATCCTGGATTCTTAAACATTTGGTTTAATTAAGCAAAGCATTACTTCGTCTTTTGTGGATTGTTTTAGTAACTAAAAATACGCATTAGTTTAGTACTTTTTCCCTACCCTCGTATCATTGAAAGCAATTTGTGTGATAGGTTGTAATTTTATCGTTTATTTCATTATTAATTTCCTCTATTACCTGACCCGATGTGGATCTCATTTTTAGTATTTTGCATTTATTTCAGGGAGTAAAACGAAAATATGATAATAAGTATCAATTTGACAGAAAAGGAATCCAAATAATAGAGCTTATTCAAGGGGCGATATTGGAAAAGGAACACTTATTCTCATTTTGGTAATTTCTGCAAAAAAAAAAGGACGGCTGAAGGGCTTCTTCTTCTTGGTGGGAGCCGCCGCACAGAGGATGCTTAGTTAGTAACTAAATAGAATAAGTCACTGGCCATTTAGTCCAGTGATCATCACTCTCTTTGGTGACTTTGGAGGTCAAGGGTTCTACCCCTGCCTCCCTCAAATTTGTCACAATATGTGGTTGGTTTTAATTGACCATCTCCCCTGGGCCCTTACCCATTCTCCCTAGATTAGTCTAGATTAAATTATAGATATCTATCATTGCCGACAAAAAAAAAAAAAAAAAAGTAACTAGATAGAATATGAATTGAGAGCAGAGGACTAGCACTATCTTGTTTCTCCTTAGTTTTCCGTCTTTTAGCTTAGCTCTGGACCCTTTCAGCTTTTAGTAGTTTATTTTGCTCCATATGTCAGGAAAAGCAAAACACAATCAATTACCTCCTGTAGCTTGCTTTTCTTGTTGGATAGAACGAATTGAATTCGCCCATTTTCCAATTGATGGCCGCAACTCTTGCTTCAATTTCTTGTGGGCTTTGTTCATCAAACATCAACTAATTTTCTCACTCTAATCAAGGAACAACGGAGGCTTTAGTTTGACTAAAAATTGTGAGATCGATTAAATTTTATTTTTTTCTTTTATTTATTGGTATTCGCATATTTCTTGTTTGCATTGCTTGTGATTATTTAATTAATTGATTGTCTTGGATCCAGATAATTAGTTAATTTGGTAATCTATTATCAATTAGGGCATTAAATCATTAATTGCTTAATTGTCTTGAAATAGTGATAACTGGCACGATTAGATTTGTGTCAGGGGGATATGCGTGCTAATCTGAAATAATCCTGGTAGTGCGTTATTTGGTTAGAATAGGGCTCCTCTAATACGTAAGGCAATTGGGGAATTAAATCTTATGGGCGTACCTAAGATTATTTCCTAATTAGGGCAGTGATTAACGGGCGTACCTTAATCACCGGCACAGTAAGAAAGGGTTGACTGTCATTGCTTGTTTGGTAGTTATAACCTATTTATTAATAAATAATTGGAATTGCTTGTGCATCGATGATCAATTAGGTGAACCATTGCTGAAGTTATTTTTTGGCTAGATCATTAGTTATCATTCATTTGACTTTAGTAAATTATTATTTAATTTTTAGTAGTTTCTTGGATTTTATTTGCATTTATTTGATTGTCACCTTCTACGCAAAAATACTCCCTGGTTATTGTGAATTTGAAAAGAAACAGTTACATCCGGTCCCTTTGAATTCGACTCTACTTACCACTATTTATAAAAATTAACTTTAGTTGAACAGGTTTTTATTATTGCACATGCTGCCCGACATCCTATCATTGTGCAAGTACTGTCATCAAAGATAATGATGAAGTTTTTATAGAAAGGCTTCTATGCATTAAGAGTATCATAATTCGAGCTGGTACAAGAGTTAAAACTTATAAATAATTTCATTTTAGGAATAGAAAGTGATTTGTGCATTTGCACGAAAAAGAAGAGAACAAGTCATCTTCTGGAGGAAAAGGATATCGATTCTCACTTATTTATTCCATCATGAATTGCTATTAGGTTGTTTCGCCCTGCTAAGATCCCTTTTCTTAGAAAATTTTTACATGTTTCAAAACTGATTTGGCATCAGAGTTCTCTGATTTTCCATTTAGAAATACTTAAATGCTTCTTGTCTTCAAGCATTGCAAGCGGTCCTCGTCAGGTTTCAATAACATGTGGAACACATGGAAAACTAGAAATAATGAAGTCTTTGTTTTTTGGAAATTAATCATTTATATCGATTATAAGAATGATAAGAATATTAATGGTCCATTTGGAGTTACGTACTTTAATACAAAGTATTTCACCAATAGATTTTTAAATAAAAACATTTATTAAGTGCTTAAATGTTTCTAAGTATATTGTTTGGATACATAACTCAATAGTAGTAATTGTATTGAATGATGTATAATTTGAAAATTTTTAAATATATTTATATCTTTATTTAATTCATAATATAAGATAAAATGATTAAATACGTTTTATTTTTTAAAACACAAAAGTACTAAATTTGAGTTTTTACTAAAAATGTTTTTAACACTGAAAACTTTACTCCTGATTTTATGAAATGGTGTTCACCAAAAGTTTCTAAAGTACTTTTATCACTCAAAAGCATATTGTTACCAAAAGCATCGCAACCCAAACAAAACTTCAGAAAGCAACCAAAATATTATGGATCTAAGGCCTCTATTCATGCCTATAGTACATATAAATTTTTTTTCAAGACATAGTACATACACGTTTGAAGAAGGTCAAAATTGAGATTTAGTTCTCAAGCATGATTATCTACTTTACTCTTTTTTTTATACCCTTTTTCCCTTCCCTGAGTCCTCGCTGCTCCAAACCTAGTAGTAGCCAAGTTTGATCTTTGTCTATCAAACAAAAGTTCAACTCTTTGGTCATTAGCCTCCACGGCTAGTGGTTGACTAAACTAGAACTTTTAACTCAAAAAGAAAATAATTAAGTGATAATTTGGATGCCAATTGAATACAATTGCAAATATGTATAACAAAATGGAAATCGAAAAGTGAAAAGAAATCACGCTATGCTTAATATAAAATTTTGGTGCCCATATGGGATTTTTTTTTTTGGGTGCCTATAGGGGATTTAAACTCAATCTCTTTTGACTTTACAAATCCAAGAAAAAATAAATGGCATGGGATTTAAACTCAATCTCTTTTTTTTTCGTATGTTATTTGACAAGAAATGATGATATTTTATTATTATTAAATTAGTAAGAAATTCAAATTTATTTCCTTAACATTCACTAAAAGTTGAGTTTAAATATATAATTATTTTTAAATGGATATAAATGGGTGAATCGAATCAACCCACTATCCAGTAATTAAATGGATTTACTTGGATAGCCAATCAGACCAACCCAATATTAATGGGCGGGTTATTAGTGGGTAGGTTTGGATGAGTCAACATAATTGGATTGTGATTGATAGTTCTAATCCTATGTGACACAAAATGGAAGATTACTTCATAATCACTAAAGACTATCAGTAAAACGTAGACTTGTAAATTACTCAATAAATTAATTAAGCATGGTTTAATTTTCGAACATGATCAAATTTGATGTATAATAAATGAACTTTGAGATATATATATATATATATATATATATACATATAATAAATGAACGTGTGTATATTGCTTTTCAACATAGTTAATGCTGGTAGATTGGCTAATCTGTTGTACCAAGTTTTGGCTTTATACAAAAATTAAGAAAAAAAAAAATCTGTTCTTCAGTCTCCATTGTGATTTACACAAGGGCATATGATCATATAATCTGTTTGATACTTTATAAACGATTATACAAAATCCCTGGGAAGCCCACATGGCCCTATTGTCATTCTTTGCATACCAGATAATTTCCTATTTTTTATACATAATACATAATACATAATAGTTTAGCTTTTGTTATGAATCCCAAACCACATGCATTTGAGTCAAGTGTATATTAGGAGTTGGGATAGGATTATTCAATCCACGCGATTCAACACTAGTGTCATTGTTTTCATATTGTTTGCCTTTGTAA